TATGAGATCTTTGAAATACTATCACCTCAGGTAGTGCGCATTAATAGACCAAATAGACCTTTGCAGTTACAGACAGAAATTATAAATATAGAAAAACTTCGTAGATATGTAGAAAATATTCCCCATATCACACCTCCTACGGACTTTCCCGACTCTCCTCCTAGACAAAACTATTTTCTATTTCCTTATAGGCACTTCACTACATATATCTTGGGTGATCCGGGTTCCTCCAGACCAAGGAAATGGTTTCAACCGTTTAACCATTTGGACAACAGTATTTTCACGGATGAAAAATTTTATAAGCCTGATTTTCCAATAACATCCGAACCAACTTTTTCATCAATTGTAAAGCCCACTAAATCCAGTACTTTGGTCTTAGACCCTAAAATCAATCCATTCTATAATATGGTGGAAAGTAATTTGGGTACTACCAAAGAAAAATTACACAGTAAACTTAATCCAAATGCCGATGTCTTTATACTAACAACCTTGGCGACCAAAAAAATTTCATATTATTTAAATAAAGACTCGTTAATAAATAATGTTATCACACTGTGTACATTTTTGTATAAAACTGTTATATTTAGAATTAAAAAAAATTCCATTGTTTTTAATTACCACAATAATATTTTTGATTCTTTATACTCATTTAGCATCTTGTATATACCTTCTTCCTTTATTGTTTTATATCTTGCCTCTACCCATACAAACAAACCTACATATCTCTTATAAAATGTTTTTGATAAAATGAACCGTTAGAATAGTTGAATATATAAATTTGTATAATATAAATGTAATGTTGGACTATATGAGGCGATATGATAATTTTAATCAAGCTATAAACTCAAATGATATATGACCTTGAAGACTTGAATATATTACTTTAAAATGTGAACATAAAACACTTAATGCGTGTGTGGGTTTAAATAGCCTATAAATATATTTAGCCACCTTACAATATACAGAGGCTAGCGCTTATCGTTAGTCGGGTATAACAACCTCGCATACCTCCGTTCGATTTGTCTGGTGTAGGACAGACAAGATGTAAAGGCCTACAGATTTAGGACAATGGTAATAAGTTAATTTACGTATAGAAATACGATAGAGCAACTATAGGATTAGTATAAGCGTTTTTATGAGATAAACTATCGAGGGTTAAAAGAAAAAATAAATTTTTTGATTTTTAAACACATCATCCTCTAAGATATGGTATAACCCCATCGGTTAGTTTCGAAAATCGATGTTCGGTAAAACCTATCCTAAGATGAGCACTTCAAAATGTTAGTTCGAATTAGAGATCATTCTTAAAAAAAAAAAAAAAAAAAGAAGAAAATTTTGGCTGTAGTGCTTTGACCTATGTACTTCCATTGAGTGAGTCGTAAACTCAATGTACGAGTATATCATAGGAAAAAGTACACAGACAACGTTATCCAGAGTTCCAGGTTGGAACATAGGTCTAGCCAACTTGTGGCCAACGATAAGAAGAATAGGGATCGTAGCAATCGTGGCCGAGAGATCTACCATCCGTAGTCTTAGCTTTTTAACCCCGCACTGTTCGAATCCTATCGACTTATTAGAGAATAAAGATGTGATAAATAACAGTTTAAAATATCAATAGTATATCATAACCTAGTTAGGATATTTTCAATTCAGAGAAAATAAAAAAAAATTATCTAGACTGTGCAGCTACGAATTTCATCTTGCGCACACCCACACAGGTTCACTGCAATATAATTCCCACACTACTTGTAAATAGTCAACACATTTTTTATTTTAATATCCATATATTTTATATCCATATATTTTAATATCTATATTCAAAGAGTAAATAGCCAATGCTTGTATATAATTTTTTGACCAACGACCCGAGGGGTAAGAGGGAGAAGAGGAGAACAAAGGAGTTGGAAAATAAACAAAGAGAAAATGGCTGCGTTTCTTTTTGTCGCGTCTATTATTTCTTATATACAAATTTAGAGTTTTAAATTTATAATTATTCAAAGACTTACCTTAATACGACATATATATATGTGGTAACCGAGGGTCAAACCTGTAGTAACCGAGAGGGACAGTCAGGGCGTGGAGAGTTTTCTAGTACCTCTCTGCACCTTGGAAGACCTCTAAAAGTTCTCACAGAGTACAGGCAGTCATGGTCGAGGCAGAGTGGAAAGCTTGGGAATGTCCACACACAAAAAACGAAGAGACACAGTTGTAGTAGGAAAGTTCCATTAACAGATAAAAGTCGAGCTAAGAGCAAGATGGAGTTAGAAAAAGTTCTTACTGTTTTATATAGCGATGGGGTGGTCCTGGCTGCAACCAACAAGGGCTCACGCCGACGGTGAAGTGACTGACTGAGTTAGGCTAAAACCGAGGTTTTTTATATACCATTCCCGAGGAGGGCGGAAGGGTGAACATGTGAGAATTTGAACTTTGAACGTCTGCTGCATCCTGCACCCTTTGACCTTGATGGCAACGACTTGCCAGGGTTGTTGGATTTCTCTCTCGATTTTAGACGTTTTGAACTTCTCAATCTTGCTTTAACTCAGCTCTCAATCTATTACATAGTTTTATTTATTCAGCCTCAGTTTGTACAAAGTACATTACATATGGTGATGCAATGACACATGTCAATCATGCGTATAATTATTTATAGATGTGTTTCTATATACAACATGACAATCTTGTTATAAGTATTATACAATATAGGGTTGTTGGTTCAAATTACCATATATATATATACATATATGCAATATAATTCCCACACTACTTGTAAATAGCCAACACATTTTTTATTTTTATATCCATATATTTTAATATCCATATCCATATATTTTAATATCCATATCCATATATTTTAATATCTATAATCAAAAAGTAAATAGCCAATGCTTGTATATAATTTTTTGACCAACGACCCGAGGGGTAAGAGGGAAAAAAAAGGAGGTTGAATAATAAACAAAGAGAAAATGGCTGCGTTTCTTTTTGTCGCGTCTATTATTTCTTATATACAAATTTAGAGTTTTAAATTTATAATTATTCAAAGATATACCTTAATACGACATATATATATAATAAAAAAAACATCTTATCGTGTAACTGAAAGTTACTGATGGCTTGCGCCATCTATCGGGATAAATATCAACTATTCTCGTTGATTTTTAATTATTCCAGAATTGGCCAAATTCCCATTCTTGATTAATCAAATGTATAGGAGTATACATAAGTGAACCGGTATTGGAATCATTTTTACATTTTTATAAATATTTTACAATTTAATGACTATAAAACTCATCATTTTAGTCGAAATGATTTTAGCAGAAAAATCAATTCCAAACTGTAGACCAAGTTAGTACATCTCCAATTACTAGGCGGACATTCTGAGCAGTATAAAGAACATTCTTCCGATTCGTACAATGATATAGTTGCATGTGCTGGGTGGAGAAAATGAAGGTCACTCTAAGTACTTTTTTATTTCGTACCACCTAAGAACGACATCTGCGGGACAATGACTTTTGTAATATTTGGATAAACACAACCTCCTTCTTTAAGAGCAGGTGGGAGGGTTTCCCCACCCTAAACAGGTATCCCCTTTAATTACCTTGAGCAACTGCCCCAGCTCTGGAAGATGGAGCCTATTTTCACACATTTTGGCTTTAATTTGGAATTTTAAGGAACTATGCTAAAACCCTCCTCTGAATAACCATCACATGTTGTTTAAAAAAAAAAAATTAAAAATCGACGGAAGCTTTCAAGTGTAACTCGGCTTTCACAAAACTAAACCATAAAATGATAAATTCTGAGTGAGTTATCACTGGCTCACCTTATAAGCATCAATGATATCTTCTATACAAGCGATTAAAAATCAAATGTATGGTGATTGAAAAGTCTGCACTATATTGGTTGTACAAGGTAAACTGCGGTGCCTATTCAAGTATTAAATTCTAATATATAAAAAGTTCAGGTGTTGATATTAAAAATAAAAAAGGCATATCCTGACCGTGTTCACATTGGCCTTAAATACCCATTTCTTGATTTCTCAGGAAGCCTCTGAGACCAAATATTTGTTCGTAGAGGTACGGTCTGCCCTAGGCTGACGAGGGTCAACAGCCCGAAACACATTCGTGGTTGACTTTTCTTGATTTATCAAGAAATTGGGTTGGACGAATCACACGGAACAAGTTAAATAAACGTTTAGTTTATTTTTGTTCCACTAAATGGCGCTCTGTCATCTAGAAATGATCATATGAGCACGGTCAGGATATGTATTTTTTATTTTTAATATATATATTCATAAATATGAATAACTCTGCCTTTGCCGGTCCCAAGCCCGGATGAAAAAGGAGGAGGGGGAGCAGTAACAAGCTCACTAAAAAACCTGGGTTCAGCTGGCCCGGCTGATAGTACCCTGTAAGGGCTCCTAATCCAGGGATACAGGATGAGCAGCGTTTGTACTCCATGTTAGGATCGGCTACACATGGCGTCTGTTCCTCATGTCAGAGGCGGCCATTTCATTCGGAGCTAAGTCGGCCTGCTACTTAGTAGTGCTCCCAGTCTTAATGACAAAGGCAGATGCATTCTACTTCACCCAATTATAATGTTTGTCAACTTCACAAGCTTGATACCGTAATATGATTGAGTGGAGATAAGAAAGAAGAAGAAGATAAATATGAATTAATAAAAAAAAAAAAAACGTCATCTTGCTCTTCAACAAAACCAAGCATAATGTTTCGGGAAAATGAGTTAAACGCGGAGTTAAACAATATCTATTAGAGAACGCATTTTATTTTCAGATTATGAATAATAACTGACATTTTGCAGGTGGGATTCATAATTGAACATTAAATTAGTTAGTAAAACGACATTTAGCAATCATCCCGCATGTGCTTCTTTTGAACGAAAAATCGAAATTTATTTTAAGGAAAAAATAAAGAATATTTCTAACCTTAGGTATGAAGTATTAAAGGATGAATTGTGAAGAGTAATGATAAACGGAAAAATAAAGTGTCCAGGGATGGGAATCGAACCCACAGTGTTCCGCTTACCGGGCACATGCCATCATGTCCACTAGGCTACCCTGGACATATTTTTCCGTTCTTAAATATTATATAAAGTAATTTATAATACAATATATTGCGACCTATGATTGTAAAACGACATTCAAGCAATTATCCCGCATGTATTTCTTTCGAACGAAAAATCTAAATTTATTTTAAGGAGAAATTACGATTATTTCTAACCATAGGGATGAAGTATGAAAGGATGAATGGTGAAGAGTAATGATAAATAATCATTATTTCTCCTTAAAATAAATTTCGATTTTTCGTTCAAAAGAACCACATGCGGGATAATTGCTAAATGTCGTTTTACAATCATAGGCCGCATTATATACAGTGTGGCAAATAATTTTTAAGACTCGCGCTAGATAAAAGCCAATAGCATAGCCAGTTATGAAATTGCGCATGCGTATATATATATATTCGAAGCCTTATCTAGCGCGTGGCTTTGTTTCAGCCATTTTGGTTAACTCTTTAAAACCATACAGGCGATTTTTGGAAAGTAAAAAGATGGAACAGAGAGCGGTTATTAAATTTAATGCAAAACTTGGTAGAAGTGCATCGGAAACATATATTTTGATGAAGCAAGTTTATGGTACGTTATGTTTGAGTAAATCAAATGTTTTAATTTGGCACAAACGTTTTTCGGATGGAAGAAATACGCTAGAAGATGATAAGTATACTGGACGACCAAGTTCTTCGAAGACACCAGAAAGTATTAAAAAGTGCGAGAATTTGTTGCAAACAATCGCAGTGCATCCCTGAGAATGATGGCAGAGGTTTTACACATCAACAAAGAAACGATTCGAACCATTCTGCATGAAGATTTGGGTAAAACTAAAGTCTGTGTTAAATTTGTTCAACATACTTTAACGGGCGAGCAGAAATCATTGAGAATTGCACATTGCAGGGACATCATTTCTGCCTATGAAAATGATTCAAACTTCCTGAAATCAATTGTTACGGGTGATGAAACATGGTGTTTTCAGTATGACCCAAAGACAAAGTGCCAAAGTGCCGAATGGAAGTCAAAAAACTCTCGACAAGCCAACAAAAAACGCGAAAAGTGCCATCAAAAATCAAAACAATGCTGATTACCTTTTTCGATAGTAGAGGTATTATCCAAAAAGAACTTGTTCCCGCTGGACAAACCATTACGGGAGAGTATTATTTAAACGTTTTGAAACGTTTGATTGCCTGAATCCGTCGCATTCGTCCAGAATATCGCGATGAAGACAGTTGGTGTTTGCTGCATGATAATGCACCGCGTCACTCCTCACTTATTGTTCGTTGCTTTTTGGCCAAAAATAACGTCTGTGTGTTGAATCATCCTCCGTACTCGCCTGATTTAGCACCATGTGACTTTTATTTATTCCCAAAAATAAAATTGAAGTTAAAAGGTTGTTTTTTTTTAATGATATCCCGACCATCCAGAGAGCTGCGACGAGCACTTTGGGGGCGATTCCTCAAAGTGGCCTGCAAGAGGCATTTAATTCCTTATTAAATCGTTGCAACATATGTATTGAATCCGGAGGGGATTGTCTATATATATATATATATAAATAATACATATAAAAATACATATAAATGAATGTATGTGTGTGTGTCCTTTATGCCTGACCAAACTACTCATTGGAACGCCATGAAACTTTGGGAAGTTATTTAGTATAGTACTGGGAAGGTTTCTAGCAAATAAAATTTTTGAAATAACTTTTCGCCTAAAAATAATCCAGATAAATATTCTAATTATCTGTTATAATTCAACAATCTGTTCTAAATATTATCATGTTGAAGGAATAAGCATAAAAAGACTAAGAGGAGCTTCTTTCAAAATTTTATTCTGCAAGCTTTCGGACTAGACGTCCTTCTACAGGCAAAGGATAGTTGTAAAGTTTTTACAACTATCCTTTGCCTGTAGAAGGACGTCTAGTCCGAAAGCTTGCAGAATAAAATTTTGAAAGAAGCTCCTCTTAGTCTTTTTATGCTTATTCCTTTAACCTAATTTTAAGAGTTCTTATCGTTTAATATTATCATGTTGATACGATGATTTTGTAATGTAGAAAATTAGGAAAGACAAAATTCAGGATGACACGGCAATTTATCTAAGACAAGAATAATGATACAATTCCAAGGCAAGATACAATTCCTTTAGCTTCCAATTACCGAGGGAACCAATTAATATTGATTTTATTCAACATATCGAGTATTTTTCAAGGGACCGGGAAAAATGTTCACTTTATCGAGAGATTTGTTAGACAAACCTTTACTCGGGTAAAAACCAGTCGAAGCCGGGTACGTCCGCTAGTTTTGAATTAAAAATAGTAGAAATTGAATTAGCTTGTGTCTGTTTTATTTTACAAACCCATTCTTAAAAATTATTTGCCACACTGTGTATTGTATTATATATTACTTTATATAATATTTACGAACGGAAAAATATATCCAGGGTACCCTAGTGGACATGGCATCTGCCCGGTAAGCGAAACATTGTGGGTTCGATTCCTATCCCTGGACACTTTATTTTCCGTTTATCATAACTCTTCATAATTATTTTATTATAAATTACTTTATATAATACTAGCGGATGTACCCGGCTTCGCCCGGGTTTTACCCTAGTGAAAGTTTACCTAACGAACATTTGTTAAAACAATTCTAGAAAACATCCAATCCCTACTGAATATATACTTGGAAAGATAACTTTATGTTTGATTATCTGCTCCACCTAGCTATACCCGTTCAAACGTTGCTGTCTTTGAACAAAAAGGCAATTTTAATACCTAAATAATAATTTATTAATGATCAAATGTATACAATACATCAAAATGAAAAACAATAAAATTACCCCTAAATACATGTCATTTGAAAATAACATATGTAAAAAAAAAAGATATATTTTGATAATTTAAAACTCGTTAATTTGAATCTCTCGATAAAGTGAACTTTTTTCCCGGTCCCTTGAAAAATACTCGATAAGTTTAATAAAAGCTATATTAATTATCATTATTCTTGTCTCAAATAAATTGCCGTGTCATCCTGAATTTTGTCTTTCCTAATTTTCTACATTACAAAATCATCATTTCATCTATTCTCCCAATATATATGTTATAGATAAATGATAAAACTAACTTTGACTTGTGCGCAATTAATAGGTAGAAACTCTTACTTTTGATAAATAATCATCATCATTTAGTTAAATCTACAAATCTGCAAATAACTCTAAGGATATTCAAGATATTCAAGAAATTATTTTTCAAAAACCTTCCCGGGGATATACCTAATAATATCCCTAAATTTCACGGCGATTGGATTTATGGTTTTTGAATCTATAGAGTACAGACAGACATTCAATTATATATATATATGTCATAAAAAAAGATTTATTTTAGGTATGTTACCAATTTATTCATGCAGTCGTGGATTGAAGTGAAATGATAACTTTTATATCCAAAATTGTATTTATTTTAATGATTATATTTTAAGAACAAAACAGTTTGCATACATACAATTTAATAGAGAGAAAATATCTTTATTTACGGGCTACTAACCAAAAGTTATGATTTTTGAGCCCAAAATCGATGTCAGGTGGCAAGGGACCCTAGGATGTGGAAGCAGGAGATGTCTCGCAGGGGTGGTGGAAACGTTGGGCAAGCAGGGGAATAGCGCCAGGGTGCAGTGAGGCGGGTGCGTTGAATAGGCCAGGAATCCAGGAGAAGTGGCATATGGAAATGGAGGCAGAAGGTCCTTGAAGCCTAGAACTTGAGGGCCCTAGACTTCAGGATGGGGCAGCTTGAGGCTCTCGCCTCGTGCTTGTCAGGAAGGCCCTGGGAGCAGCAGTTGGCACATTTGGAGGTGCGCTGGTCAGCAATTGATGGGCAGGTTCGGCCTTCATGGCCGTCTTCACCGCAGTGGAAGCACTTAGGAGCTCTGGTGCATTGGGCAGAGTTGTGGCCGAAGCCACAACAGCGGAAGCAGACGCGGGCGCGGATGGACTCCTCGAAGTTGAGGATTACTCCATCCACCACGATCCTCCCGCGAACGCCCAGGGCTCTAAAGGTCTTGAGGTCCACCTCGATGAAGGCGGTGCAGGTCCCGTTTCTGGGTGCAGAACGGTGCGCCACGCGCACCACCTTGTCCCCAGGAAGTTTTCTAACAGCAGCGGTTTCCAGGAAGGTCTCCTCAATTGTGGAGTTGGATGTCTCCTCATCCACTTTGAAGAGGCAGATCCGTGGCAGGATCTCCTTCTGCTGGCGGACCTTCATTCCATTCAACTTGCTGGCCAGGGAGGTTGTAACCTCAGGGATGGTGTCAGGATTGCTGGAATGGAGGACCAGCTTCCCCTTGGTGCGCAGGGAGGCCCAAACGCCTTGGGGGAGAGTGTGAGCAGCGCGGACTGTTTTCAGCATCTCCCTTGGGTCAGCCTGTGGGTCATCTGAGATGACCACTGTGTGGGCCGCCGATTTTTCTCCATGAAGGATCACTTGGGCGGCCGCAGGCTTGGAGACGTGGGAAGGCACAGGTTTTGAAGGACCATTCAGGTTTGTCCTCTTTGCAGGCGGGTTGGGAGCTTCAGACTGCTTCCTTTTGGTTGGAGCAGGAGCAGGCAGGGTGGAGGCAGGCTTCTTGGCAGGGAGAGCAGCAGGAGCAGGAGTGGGGGGCTTGATTGGGTCAGTCTGGGAGCTGGTTTCATTGCAGGAAGGAGCAGGGCAGGTTTGAGTGCCGCGGCAAGCAGTCTTGGGCTTGTTGGCCTCCTCAATTTCGTCCAACTCTGCGAAGGACTCGAGGGTGTCAGTGAGGTTCTCTACATTGGTAGCGAGGGCCTTGATCATTTCAGTCCGCGAGGCGATGTAGCGGATCAGGTCCTCATGCAGGGATTTCAGGGCAGGATGACCAATGGAGCTCAGGATGCTGCAGTTGCGTGAGATCACCATCTCATCTTCCCTCTCCAGGTCGGCGACATTCACGATGCGGGTTGTAGGCTTGTAGGCCTTCTTTTTCTTCTTGGCAGGATTCATGTCAATACAATTT